GCGGCGGCGGCGGCCATGGAGGAGCCGGTCGGGGAGGCTCCGTCGCCGGAGGTAACGGCGGCGGCGAGGAAGCAGCAGGGGGTGAAGCGGCATCACCACAAGCACAACCTGAAGCATCGCTACGAGCTGCAGGAGACCTTGGGCAAAGGCACCTATGGCAAAGTCAAGCGGGCCATCGAGAGGCGTACTGGCAGAGTGGTAAGGCAGGCGGAGGGGCTTCTCTTTGCCTTTTATATTATATATATATATATGTATATATATATGTAACTTTTCTTTCCAACACCGACTTGGGTACCGAACCGGCAGGGTGCATCCATCCCTCCATCCCCACAGGGACCCGCTGGGAGGGAGACCCATCGGTGCCACGATGCAGCCAGCAGCCTCAGCATCCCACCTCCACCCACCCTCCCCCGGGACCGGGGCTTTGTTTGGGGTGCAAATCCCATAGAGAAACTTTTTTTTAAATTTTTTTTTGGTGGTGGGGGGTGACGACGGTGGTGGTATTTTAGTAACACGCTGTTACGTTTTGGAAAGCATGTGTTGTTATTGGAAAAATCGGGTGGCTTGTTCTTTTTGTTTTGTTTTTACACGTGGGTCCACTGTGAACAGTTATTCTTTCCCCACTGGAAATTCGCGCTATAGAGAAACCTGTCACATCCCTCAGCTATCCTCCCATCCCCTGGCTGACCAAAGCCGCTCACAAAGCACCATCAGAAGGGCAAACGTTGGCTCTCTGGTTAAAAATGCCGTGATTCAGTCATACTTTTGTGACCTGAACTTTGCTGACACCTTAAAAAAAAAAATAAAAAAATTAAAAAAAATATGGCAGGGACTGCAAGCCGGCCCCATTGGTTTTTACGATGCGTTTCACCGCTCAGCGGTGCCGGCTGGCTCGAGACTTCAAGCGGCCCGGAGGTTGTCCAGCAATAACTCAGCTTCAGCATTTCCTCATTGGCGCAGCGCTCCAGCGGGGCGCAGAAATGCAATAGCAGAAATGTACACATTAGTCAGAGTTATTGTCATTTTTCCTTCCCTGAAATATGTAACTATTCACAGAGGGCAAGCGAGTGAGAGGCGGGCGTTGCATTAAAGACTGCCCAGAGAAACAGATGCTTTTCTAAAGAGGTCTTAATGCTGCTTTTCATATGAAGTAGACTAATTGAGTTTTCACTAGACTTCATCTAAAAGCAAGACATTTCCCTAGTGACGTTACAGGTTTTGTCTCATTTATCTTTCCCTTTCGGTTGCCTGGAAGCTCAACGCTCATCCAGAGGCAACTGTAAAACAGAAAATGAAATTGCAGATGCGGGGGTTTTAATAAGAGACACTTACTTTGCAACTAAATATCTTTGTGTCGACAGTGAAAACGAGAGTTTCAGCCAACTTGTAGAGTCATATCATGTACGCTTTCAGTTTATTAGCTCATTTGGAGGCTGGCTAAAGAGAAACCAGAGATGGACATCTCTGCACATGCTCGCTCCCAGTCCATGATTTTTAAAGTTTGCTGCCTTGGCTGTTTTACAGTTTCAGGCTAACAAAAGCTCCAGAGCTATGTTATATGCTAACTATTATTTTGTAAGTACATTATTTTTGAGTTGCATTACAAAATGTAGTAAATAAGCGAATACACTGAAAGCACCTTTTTAAAGACTTGATCAATTAAAAAAAAAAAAGGTGACTGTGTTGTTAATGAGATTTGGCTTTGTGAAGGGCCCTCTCGGATGGAAGGATGTAGTGTAGATGTGTATCTCCTCTAAGTTAACAACATACCTGGTCTTTCTGTATTTTGCTAACTGTCAAGTGCTTCAGCTATACAGCTAAGGATACTTAGATGATACAATCTGAACTAAATTTATACAGCTTATATCTTGAAAGGGAGAGGGTGGAAATCAGAATGCATGTGCAATCTTAAATGCAATAAAATATTACACTCGCTCTATCAGCTGGTCTGTAGAAGCTAAACAAATCCTCACCGGGGTGTGAGTTTTATGCTGTAGTAATACAAGCCTTGGCGTGCGGCACTTCGTAATTATTAACTAGTTTGCGGGCGAGTTCTGGTGTAATGTGTCTGTTTGAACTTTAACATCTGTGAGTCTGTGTAAAATACCCACATTTTGTCTGCTTGCAGAATAAAAGCTAGTTGCCAGGAATCCAGCCAGACCTAAAAGTGAACGGAAAGCGCTTCTTGTTTTCTGACAGTTCCCTCGTTTGGCTGTTGCGGTGAACACCGGTTGCTTTCCCGGGGTGAGACAAGAGAACCCACAGGACGACTGAGCAGAGAGGGACAGAGTTTCCCTTCGGATTTTCCCCCCTGCCTTTCTCTTCAGCGTTTGCAGCGTTCCCGAGCAGGTTGGACTGGGTGGTGCTGTGTGTCCAGCAGGGGATGCACAGAGCGAGCGTTGTGGCCAGCACGTCTCTCTTGCACTGTGTCCAATGCAAATCATCTCACAGCTGGCAGCTAGGTAGCGAGAGTCCCAAGGTCGCTCTAGTCCAGTCTGTTTGCTTCCTATTCTGCTACTGGTTTAGCTAATCATCTTTTTCTTTACTCAGCGGTGAGCAGGTATTGGAAGCTGTATGGTAACAGATTGCGAAGCTGGACCTTGGCAGCGGCATTGCGTTCCCAGTCATCAGCCTTGTCCAAGCGATTCTCCTGTCTGGCCTTTCTGCTTCTCTTGTCTGCTAACAATCTGCTTTAGTTATACAGCATTTCATAAAGGTATTTGCATGATTAGCCAGGCTTTTACTATGAAGCACAAACTTTGGATTTGTCATCATCTGTATGAAAGAGAGCTCAGGAGTGAAATAGACATGGGCAGATTTGAGTTAATGAAGCAAAACCAAGGTGAGAAGACAGTTTGATCCAAGGTACAGATGTACTTTAGTCCTGTGCCATTGGAAATCAATAGCAGGATTTCTGTTGACTTGAATGAAAGTAGTATTTGGCACTTACTAACAGGTTGCACGTTTATTCACGTTGTTGTAGTTTCTTTGTCTTTCCTCTTAGCTCAGTGGAACGTGATTGTAAAGCTTCCTGCCATAAAGCTCCAGGGTAGATTGTATGATACATTTAGTTTGTTATTGGAAACAACTTGTGTGAATTTGTGTATTAGTTACCACACTGACTACAGACAGTATTGCGTGCTGCATGAAGCAGTTGCCCACCACATGACATACGAGGTGCTTAATTTTGCCGGCAAGATTTCCTTCATTAGTACTGGCTCAGTATACACTGTGTAAGTTATGATATTTTAAATTAAGGCACCTGTTAGTAAGTGTAAGGATGAAGAGATGATATTGCAAGCCTGTGAAGTAACACTCATGTTGACATTTCTGTGGGTGTTTTCTCCACTTGTCATCTTGCACATGTTAACATGAACAAAAGCTCAGTTCTTTGGTTTATATACTCAAATGTTTGTAAGCCAAGAAATCCACAGTTACACTTATGTCAGCCTCAGATAAGTTGTGTATTGACTGCCTCTGGCCGATCCCATGGATGGTGCACAAAGACGGTAGATGCTGCTGTGTGGTTCTTTGAGTAAATGATTCCACTGGAGTAAATACTCCTTATAATGTGACTTTAAATTACAGATAGGCGTTTACAGCCTTGTTATCCATCTGTCTTTTCTTGACATTATACAGAAAGCAACGCCTGGATACAAAAATGTGTTAATGTTAATTAAATTAATGTTAGTAAAGGAGCATGGAAGACACCATGTAAACCCTGTTAGGCTGCCTGCAGCACTCCCAGCAGGGGTTCGATACCCTGGCTGGTTCACAGCTACCCATGGGTGCTTTACTTCGAGGTGATCTGCTGGGAGTCACCTGCTCTCCCTGCTACTGCTGGACCTGGAGCTTGCTAACGTTGCTGGCCAGTTTTTATAACCTCTCACAAAGCATCCTCTTAATCTGTGCTTCCTTTTGGTTACCATCTGTCCTCAGGAGATACTTTGCTGTTTGCAAAAGCCAAGAGTTTTTCTCCCTTTCTCTCTTCAGCCTGCACTTGAGAGGTGATGGGGAGTAGCTGTGGGGGCCTCCCCTCTGCCTTCACCTCCCTCTCTCTGCCTGAGAGCCAGGACATCTTTTCTTCCTCCTCACCAGCAGGTGGAGGAAGCACTATTCTCCTCCAGCTGTTCCTCCAGAAAGTTAATTATTTTGGGAATTGATGACAAGTTGCAGCCCAACATGGAAAACAGGCACGCGGTGCATATTTGTGCAGGCGCGTTATGTGCGGTGGTGCGTGTTATTTATCTCCTTTGCATAGATGTGCAGGTAGGAGGATGTTGCTAAATGAAATCGGTTTCCCAATTAAAATCATGTAAAAGAAACAAATAAACAAAAAAACCAAACCAAAACGAACTATCAACCCAAACTTTAAAGCAACAGAAATCTTTTTAGTTGCAACTCCAGTGAAGATCCTTGCTTTGAAACAGCTCTGCTTCATGATACTTTTGGAGAGTCACACAGGGTTTTTGAAACCCTGAAGCAGCAACAGATTATATGAAAGGAGGACTTTTGCTTCGCTGATTGTATTTCTCCATATCATGACAAAACCAAAACACGCATACCAACAATGACAGCTCTGTCATGTCAGTAATTAAGGCCTTGTTGGCCCCACAGCCATCTGTTTGTTTGCGGTGTGGTTTTTTTAAGGGTTCCAAATAACATGATAAAAGCGTGCTCATTGGTTACAGAGGACAGTTAAAGCCAGGTGGGACGTTTGTCCCAGTTCTCGTCTGCTTTGCTGATAGCATAGAAAAAGTGAGCATCACTCTTTTCCCTCTTATGCACATGAATTCTCTTATCTTTATGACTTCTTAACTATCCATTTTTTCCTCAATAATTTCTGCTCCAGTTAGCACCTGGATCCTTATTTAATATTGATTTTTAGCTTGATCTTCCAGTGTGTATCTTCGGCAGCATAATGTCCGAAACTGACGCAGAACTGTTTATTTTTTTTGAGGTTCTTTGTTGTTCTTATTAAGATATCTTCCTTTATTGCAGACACCGGTGGAAGTATCTACACAACACTGCTGTGATGTGAAGTGCTTGCACAGTACTTTGCACAGCAGGATCCTGATTCGTAAATGTGGCTTCCACAGCTATGATAATACACTTGAATAAGAGTAACAATGGCTTGTATCACTACCCAGTTTTATACATGAGAAAGAAAAACTTGCCGATTAAAGCCAAAATCATCA